CCATCATTATTTATCTTACCTAATTTATAACTTTTAATTATTAATAATAATAAACTTGTTTCATTACCCGAAGAAATTGGTCAATTAGAACGACTAATTGAATTAGTATGTTTTTTTTTATTTTATTTACATCTATTTAGTTTTTCTAATTTAAAAAAAAAACACAGGATGTCAATTCGAATGATATTACACAAATACCCTATCAAATAGGAACACTATCAACACTTCGAACATTAAATATCCGTCGAAATATGATTATTGAATTACCAACAGGTAAATAAAATAGGAAATTTTCAAGAAAAATCCATAGTCTTTTATTCAGTTAAGTTTAATTGACAATCGCAGGTATTGTTTTGAAACCTAATGCTTTCTTTTTTTCCTTGTTTTGGGTTAAAGAGAAAAAAACTAAATCATTGTGCATGCAAAAAAAAACATAAGGAATTAAAGCTTCTAGGCATTATTGAAATCTTTTTTTTCCTCTTCTTCTTCTATTGAATGTGATTTATTTTGTTTGATTTATATGTAGAATTATGTGCATTAAAATTAATTCATTTTGATTGTTCATATAATCGAATTATTCGTTTGCCATTAAATTTACGTGAAATGAATAGTTTAATTGAACTTAATGTTGAACATAATCCATTAGAAATTCCACCAGCTTCAGTAAGAAATTTATTTTGAATATAAAAAGAAAATTTTAGAATAATAATGTTTTAGATTTGTACACTTGGTTTGCTTCATATAATGCGTTTTCTTCTTATTGAAGCAATAAAAGAAGAAAAACGACGTGGAATTTTAACAGAATATGAAATTAATGAAAAATATAAAAATTCATTTTCATATCAAACATTAAAGTAAAGTCAACAGATATTGCATTTTTTTATCGGATGAATAAACCATTTTTTAGAATTCAGCAGTATGTCATGAGAGAACCTCCTTAGGTCATAAAAAGTGTAATAGGATAATAGCACAAGTTGCAATTCGATAGAAATAGCGACTTTTTCTGCTATATCCTACTTTCAGGTAAAATCAAAGACTTGAATCTTGGCTTGCAACATTCTTCACGCAAAGCTTCTAATCATACTAGATTGCTGGCAAAGTCTCAGGTTGCTTTGAAAATATCTATATTCATAATGCAATATTTATAGAAAATCGTCTTCATAATAGCTTACTGATATTTCAATGATTATTTATCGGATAATTATTAAACTTTTCAAACCAGCTAATCTGTTCAATATTTTGATTTTATCCGAACAGTAGAATGCGGCAGGAAAATAATAGTAAACAATCGATACATTCCATACTTGTAGACAACATTTCGGTTTGAAAAGTTTTTATTGTCTGGGAAGATGTGATCGGTTGAACTATGATAGTAATTAGAAAAGCCAACGATAGATTACCAATTTTAATGTTATCTCTAGTCAACTATGATATTTATTCTTTATTTATAGAAATTTACAATGTGGTACAAAAATGCGAAAAACAGTAGTACCATCTGATTCAGGTTATTTAACAACTGAAGGAAATGAAAAAACTATTGGTGATGTAAGAAAAGTACTATTTTATTTTATTTTTTTATGTTTATTATTGTCTTGATCGTTTTGTGTAGGATGATTCTGTATTAAGCATATCTAATGAACATCCGCTTCGAAGTGAACCTACCCTTATGCTTACTTTAGCTGATGAATTTTCTAAAGTATTGTCATCATATTCAATTTTTAAATAATCAATTCACTTTGTTGTTGTTTTTTTTTTCGTTATCTTATAGGAATTAGCCAGACAAAAAGCTGAATACGAGAGAAAAAAATATCAAGCCCAACAATTAAAACGACATTTATTACAACAATTAGGAGAAACAGAAAATCAAGTAAGATAAATATTTTTTTTTTTAATGTAATATATTATATTCGAAATAAATAGAGAGCAAAAGCTCGTGAAGTAGCTCGACGATTACATGATGAAAAATTGGCTAAAATGGAAAAACAACGTGAAGATGCTCGACGTAAAATGGAGAACAGGTAAAATTTTTAAATCTGAATGATTCGTAATATCAACAAATTATTCATCATTTCTTTCTTTTATTTTCTAGTAAAAATATGCAATTATTTAATTTTTCATCAAAAGATGATTATCAAAAACCACGTTCATGGTTGACATCAAATAAAGCAACATTAACTCGTCAATTATCAACTAGTGAATCAACAACACCAATTCAAATTCTTAATGAAACAATGTTAATTAATTCCATGAATAATAAAAATACCGATGATAATACATATCAACGTTCAATATCAATTGAAAATGCAACTATAGATGAATATTTGAAACGATCAAATCGTGCAGTTAGTGTTGAACCTAATTTAATATCCGGTGGAAATGATATTAAACATTTTTATCAACAAAAAATTTTACCAAATGGTTCAACTATACAATATGATAGTACAATTATAACAAATCGACAATTTACTTTAAGTTCAGAAACAATGGATCAATCAACGTAAGTAAAAAAAAAATAAAACGAAATTTTTTTTCTTTTAAATTAATTAAACAATTTCTAGTACATCATCACAAAGTTTAATGGCAAGTCCAAACAATGGTTATACTCGAACGGTATAGAAATATTTATAAATGATTTGTATATGTAAGTATTTTCTTTTTCTATAGGATCTATCTGATAAATCATTATCACCACAACAAAATCGATTAACTAAATTACGCTATTTTGATGATCGTCAAATAAATGTAAGTAATAGACTTTTTTATAATTTACTGATTTTTTTTTTTTTTTAATTAGTCTACTGTTGCGAATGTACCTGGTTTTCATATGCAACCAAGAAGTAAATATAAGAAAGAAAAATACATAAACAAATATTCGATATATTTTTAGTGAATTCACTAACAAATGGACAATATCAACAATCTCCATTAGATAATCCAGGAGTTAATCCAGCATTTACAATACGTCGTCATTTACTTCAAGCTAAAGAGGATTATATGTTAATAGAACAAATGAAAAAAGTAAATAATTTTGTAAACATGATTAGGATGAGAAGAGCGATTGAGTCCCATCTACAACTATTTTCTGATTACGCCATTTCTCCAAATCAGCATTTATATAATTCATAGAAACCTTAAAACTATCTGCAGTTATTTAAAGTGATGCTCAAAATTGAATGTATCGCTATATATTTTGTAGTTTATTAATCGTGATTTGACTAGAGGTGTGCGAGACCAAGTCAATGTCGGCCCTGAGTTACGAGAGAACCACTCGAAGTGTAGTAGTCACTTTAAATTTGGACTATATGCATAGGATAGATTCTAGTGAGGTGTGAAAAAATCTCCAGAAGGACGTGTACCCTGAGACCTTGCCTCCTGAGTTATAACTATTTCACTAGAATATCATCAATTAGAAAACCTGTCTACAGATAGATCTATTTGTAACTAGAATATCATGAATGTCTATTCACACGAGCATATGAGATTCTCACATCTTTTATCGGATATGAATGGTTTTTGGAAATTCAATCTCTTAGGAAGAAAAAGTTCTTTTACGCTGAAATTTTCAGATAGAAAATACCATCAGTCGAGTTGTTGGTACATACTATGCCATAGGCTGAAATTTAAATAAAATAGCTATAACTCAGAAGGGAAGGTATCAAGAGAAATTCGCCTTCTGGAGATTTTTTCTACTTCATTGAAATCTATCGTATGTATCGAGTCAGAAATTCAAAAGCAACTAACCACTTCGGGCAGTTTTCTCTAACGCAGGATCGGCACTGACTTGGTCTTATACATCTCTAGTTGAATGGCTTTAAATAACATTGTCTTTAGTATGTTTTATCTAGTACAGCAATTTTTTGGCGGAGTGAGGTGATACTTGACGTAAAAACGCTATGAAATATGATCTACATTTTGTCAAAACCTCCACATCAATACATTGAATCTCTGTTAAGATATTGGGAAAATAAAGTCATCTCTTATTTGATTATACTAGCAAACATGAAACTCCTCTGTTAAAGGTTTAATAAAATTCAAATTTTTAAAATTTTTAGACAATAGAAGAGCTTGTAAAAGTGGCATTACCCGATGATATAACGTATGCATTAAGTGATGGTGTAGTACTTTGCCATTTTATTAATCAAATTCGGCCACGTGCCGTACAAAGTATTCATGTACCTTCACAAGCAGTCGTAAGAATATAAATATTACTTTTCAGAAAAAAAAAAAAAAAAAAATTTTAAATATTTCGTTTTTAGCCAAAATTATCTTTAGCTAAATGTCGACGAAATGTTGAAAATTTCATTGAAGCAAGTCGTCGTTTGGGTGTACCAGAAGTAAGTTATCAGAATAGAAAATATAAAATCAAATAGTATGAATCTATTCTATCTTAAATAATTTTATATTAATTAGACTTTTGATATTTTTCTTTTTAATACTAAACAGAATCAATATTTTGATTCATTTATAATTGTTCATTAAATGAAATGGTAATAATTATAAAGAAATATACTTTATATTTTTTTTGCTTTTATTTCTAAATAATTTCATGCATAACTTAATTTGATTAGTTTCTTTTTTGCACATATTAAAATATAAAGATAAATTTTGATTTTGATTAACTTTTCTTCTCTCTGCACTGAATAGTAACCTATTGGGTTTCTAATTTGATTCGCTTCAATGCACCAGATGCAATAAATTGAAGTTTTCGAACTGTCTGAGAATTTTGATAGTTACCAACGAACTGAAAATTAACTTGTATACTGTTCTCATTCACACGTTTATCTGTCCTTGGCACTTAGTGGATCTTAATATAAATACGTGAAATTGCGCGTATCACGATATTTTGATTTAGGACATTATCGAACTTTGAAGGAGTTGAGAAAAAAAATCCTATAGGACTTTACCAGTCAACATTATTTCGACAGCTTATTTTAGAATTCCGAAACTCAAGGAAATATATTTCAATAATTTTGTAAGAAATATAAAATGAATCCTTTATTACCAAATGAGCGTTTCTCATTGTTATGAAATAGGTTGCTCTGAACGTATAAGTATTCATCTCATACTGGCGTTTGTCTTTAAAATTTGATAAACTCTCGCGTAATTCCAATTGATCGTCAGTCAGCTTTGTAAAATGTCTCTTTTTTTTCACTTTAAAGATTTATTCGCCGTTTCTCATTAATGTTCATGTGTATACATTTTTCGACTCACGAAAGAAATTCGTTTACTTTTTGTTAATAGAAAAAAATGTAGAACAATCGAAATTAGATACATGAAAGAAATTACAACTAAACAGTGAAAAGCGATATATTATAGACGACTGGTTTTTATTGAAATATGTTTTAATTTTAGGCTGATTTATGTACTCCACAAGATATAATTGAAGAAAAAAATACGGTGCGTTTAGCTCGTCATATTCATTTATTAGTTTCACCAGAATCTTATGAACAAACAAATGTTTAACTAGATTAGTTTATCTTGACATCTAATGTCCTTTGTATTTTGGATTGTTTTTTCTTTTTATCTATCTATATATTGTTATCAAGCAATATTCAGTGTGTAATTGTGTGAAAATCTCAATTTTTTTATCATCTCAATCATGTATGTTTATTAGTTCTGTATATGAATCTGTCTTTTTTTTTTCTCTTGTTTAAATATCAATAAAAATAAACGATAAATGAATTTTAAAAAAAGAGTAGATTTTCTTCAGTTTTTTTTCATTTGTAGAACATTATGAGTTTCACACATGATTTGAAATTACCAACATATGATGAACTTCAATGTCCAGTCGTGAATGTGTCTTCGCCTGCATTACGAGCAGGAAGTTTTCATTTGGCGAAATATTGTGATTTACAATTTAAAGTTAGTTTAATGAAAATTCTTATGTTATGATGCAAAAATGAAAATTTTTTCTTCTTTTTTTTAGGAGTTTATGTTATGTCGACAGGTTTGTATAAAAATGGCTGATAGCGATGGAGAATAGCTTCCATTATTAGTTGTATTCATTGAATTGCTATTATGAGATTAGTGTATTTGATTATATTCTAGAGAGACCAGTTAAAATTTCATTAGAGACTGACTAAGTGAGACATATCAGGGAGTTAGAAACCTGCAAATTGATCTCAAGTGACGTTGATCATGACCGATAATACTTGAGCAAATAGATTACAAAAAAAAAAAAAGAATATGTCTTCCAGTGACAGCCTTAGAGGGGTTGCATTTCAGGCGATCACCCCTACCTTCCATAACATCTATCGATTTTTTTTTCAACAGAAAACGCACAAAAATAATGAGACGATATGACTTTTAACGGACTTTTGAAACACATTTTGTAACTATGATCGCAGTTCCTTCTCAAAATCCTAAATTTGCACCTGATATCTTGCTGTTATTTCGATTGAAACAAAAAAACAATGATTTAAAGAGAACAAGATTATTTTTTTAATATAAATGATAACTGATAATCACATTCATGCGTGATTGTACTTAAAAAGCCATAGTCACGAAGGTCTACATCTCTTCGAATTAGAGATGTGCAGTGCACTCAAAGATCAAGGCGGAAGATCGTGGTCGTACCTACTAGTAACTAAAAAAAAAATTTTTTTATCAATTTTTTCCTAATATTCGTTGCTCTATAACATTTCTTAAAAAATAACGCTTCATTTCTGAACACTCACCTAAGAACTACAACATAAAGTTGAAAAAACAAAACATGAAAGAATATCTAATCAGGTGAAATGTAACCGGACATATATATATATATACTTACAGAATATTCATTTTCGTTTTAACTTAGAACAAATCTATCAACGATTAAATTACTACTCTTAAGTTTTCAGCGTTTGATGCACATTCTTTTTTAAAAATTCCTAATTGCAGTTTAACAGTTGGTAAGATTAACACGTGACTACTCAGTCGTGACGCTTAAAATTATTTGTTGGCAGTGCAGACAATGCATACCTCTACTTCAAATAGTAAAAATAAACTTTTGCATGAAAACAATTTTCATCTTTCTTTTAGGAAGAACAAGATCCACGAAAATGTATAAATGAAGGCAAAGATGTTTCATTATGTTCTATTGATTTTTTTCGTAAAGTACGTGATACATGTAATGATACATTTACAACGTTTTGGACATGTCTTGATAATGCTCGAGAAGGTGAAATGTCATTTAATTAGTATGTTTCATTGACATTGATATTTTATTCATCAGAATTTGTTGTCTTTTTTGTTTTTATTTTAAATTTTAGTTGTAAAGAAGAACGAAAAGCATTTGAATTATGTGCTAAAAATAAAATGAATTTAGAACGACCTGAACCAGGTTATTTTTCAATGGTTCGAATACATGAGAGTAAACGACCTATACCATCGGATCCATTTCGAATTGGTTCATTGGAACGACATCCACCAAAATTAGATGTACCAGATCCACCATCATTATCTCAAGCTAATGAATATCCGGAAGCTAAAATTGGAATGAAATTTGGACATAGAAAACCTTGGATGTTTGAAGCTAAATTATGGGATTGAATATAGAAAAAAAGAAAAGGAATTTTTTGTTTTTGTCAAAAGTTAGTCTGTAGTATATAAATCATTATCATCGATTCTTAAATTTTCTGGTTATGTGTGAAAATTTTTCTTTCATCATTGGAATCTATTGGTTTCTTATTTTTTTCTAGATGCCAAAAGTAACAAAAAGAAAAGTCAATAAAAGTGATGTACCTAAACGAAATTCGAAAAATAATGAAGAAGATACAACACTAATGATTACAGTTGTTAATAAAACTGATGAACCAATATCTACTAAAGGTATTAAACGAAAAGCTTCGTCATCAGTAGAAAAAGTAAATAAATTTTGTTTAAATCTTTTGTTTTTCATTAATCACTTGTTTAGAATGTAAAAAAGACTTCATCAAACAATGAAATAAATTCAATTGAACCAACTCAAGAAGTTGATGATGATGCAGAAATTCAATTACCTACAACAATGACATTAAAAAAATCTGATCGTTTATCAGCTAAAGGTAATAAAGCAACAATTAAACTTGCATCATGGAATATCAATGGTATTCGTGCATGGTTAACGAATGGTGGTTTAAAATATATTGAACAAGAACAACCAGATATAATGTGTTTTCAAGTAGAAATATTTTTTATATCTTTTTAGTCAAAAAAAAATAAGAAATTATTTAGGAATTAAAATGTGATAAAGATAAAATTCCAAGTCAAGCAACACCAGCAGGTTATAAATCGTATTGGCTTTCAGGCGATACTGGTATGTTGAAAATAATTCATTAATGAAATCATTGTTTTTGTTCTCTTGTAGCTGGTTATTCTGGTGTAGGTCTTTTAACAAAAATCGATCCAATTGATGTTAAATTTGGTATTGGTATAGCTGAACATGATAATGAAGGACGTGTTATAACAGCTGAATATGAGAAATTTTATTTTATTGTATCATATATACCAAATAGTGGTCGTAAATTAGTACGTTTAGAATATCGACAAGAATTTAATGAAGCATTTAGAAATTATATTAAAGAACTGGATAAAAAGAAACCCGTGATATGGTAAATAATTCTTGTTTTTTGACCAACACTTAAATCAATAGATGAAATTGTTAATATATTAAATTTATGAATAGTTAATTTAATTGAAGAGTAAGATTAGAAATGGGAATAGGTCAACTTTAGAAAATTTTTATATATAGGTGGATCGTTATGTGATGAAATCGATCTTCTTTCGAAATTAGTTTTTTCTTTATTTTCTCAATAGTGTCTATTCAGATGCCAGAAGTTCATTGCCGTTCGAATTAGACTTCCGTACGACAGCGCACGACTGACTCAAAACTTGATATTATTGATCTTCTATAGCGTTATGCAATCCTGTGTTTATGTAGAAAATTTGATTAATATATCAAATGAAAGCTCTTTTCCTTTTAGATGGCATTATTTGCTTTTGAGTACAACAGAAGAACATCCATAGCAAAACTCGCTCACTCTTGAACTGCGAAAACAATGATTCACTTTGAATTATATATAATTCAATAGATTTTTCAAAGCTTTACAAAATGATACTATTGTGTTGAGTTTAAGTTGTGGGCAAGACATTTTAGTCGAACGCACAATATTCATTAGGATCAAAAGTGTCCTTTATGTCTTATATTTAATTGAATTTTATCAGAATAGTGAAGTTTTCTCTTTAAAAAAGCAAATATTTGGTATCAGCATAAAAAACTGAGTCTATTTATGTATGTAATAAAATCTGCTGACAACTTTTATTTTCATTCAAACTTTAATTCTGATCTTCCCCACGATTACTTTGAAAAATCAAGCCAGTCAAAACATCGTTTTCATTACTTATTCATCTGTCGTTTTAAACTTATCTAGATCTTTTCAAAACTTAGAGGTGACTTTTCAGAGTCAAATTGATGTTTTGATTAGCTTTATCTTTCGAAATAGCATTGAGGAGATTGGGGTTCAATTTTTAGACGAAAATTAAAGTTCTCGGGAAATTTTGCAACACATATAGATCGACTCAATTTTTTATACTGACTTCAAATACAGCATTTTTCTAATAAGAAAACTTGACTATTCTGCTCGAAATCGATTAAATGTTAGTCAGAAAGGACAACTCATTTTTTTTTATTTACTTTGTTTGATAGATTATTTTCTTTTCTCTTGT